TGTAAATGATGCAGGGTGGGGTAGGTTTGTGGACATCTCTGGTGTGCTGATACTCTACTCCCAGGGAATGAAAGTGTTATTTTCTCAAAGAACTTCATCAGCTCTTATTCTTAGGTGTCAGTTCCTAGGCTGAGGAGAAACTCCGGACTTTATTTTTAAATGTACACTCCAATAATAGACTGTGTAATTGCAGATCTTCCTGAGATCTTATTATATACAAGTACCAACATATTGGATGTTTCAAAACTCATATTTTCTTCCTGTCAAATAGATGTTGGAGAACTTAAATTTCAGCATTATAGGTAGTGGGGCTGTATATTTGTTTTTTCCCCTCCCAAAGGAATCCTGAATCAAAGAAACAGCAAATACTTGGTGATGCATGGGCAACAATTTCTCAACAACATGTTCAATTACTCATATAGGTAAAAAGATTCTCCCACAGCCACAACTAAGAAAAATGTGTATTAAAATATAATATATAGTCTAGCTTCAGTGACACACTTTCCCTCCTGCTGCCATGAACGCTTGAACAGCTGTACTCTCACTCTCTTTGTGATGTGGGTCCATAAATACTCTTGGGAAATGGGACAAGGATACTTCAGGGATCATCACCCGTTAAGATCAGGGAATCACACCCTGAAGCAGAAGCATTTTTTGGCAGAGAGATGAATATTGTCATTTGTCTTATGCCACTGTAATTGGACAAGGAAGGCTAACATGGAGGAGAATGGTGGGAGAAGATGCTGTTCTAGGACACTTGATAAGAGAAGCATGTCATAATTATTTGGCCAGTAGGAATAAAAATGAAAGGCATGTACAACAATGTGTTGTTGTTTATACAAAAGTTACTATTTAGAAAATACCTAAACTATGCTAATCATTTCATTCGATAATAATTTTCCCTCAAAATATGACTCTTACTAGAAAACAAATGCCAGAAACATCAGACAGTCAAATCATTGTTGGGAAGTCCATGTTCATGAAACCATTCAGAGCAGTGATGAATAGGTGGCTTGAGATATCAGGCAGATCTGAGTTCAAATTCTGTCTCTACCATTTCCTTGCTGTGTGATGTAGGAAAACAGCTTCTTGGTGCCTTTGTTACTTTTTTGCTAAAGCAGTGATGGTATTAGAGTCATTTCATGCAGTTGTTTGAGGGTTACAAGATAACTAAGATAGAGACCTAGAATTCAGTAAGTAGATTAACAAATGTGGATGTTATAGCTACTATTTCCCCCTGCTACTTCCTCCATCATCATTGTTATCATCATCATCACCATCACTATCACCATTATCACCACTACCATCACTATCCAGGCAAATATTAGAGAAACAAGAGAGACCCGTCTTCTTGCTATCAATTCAAGGGGCACATCGAACTTCAATAACAGTATTTCTAAGTATGAAAGTTTGGTTTTTATAAGCATGGCTACATACTAACAAATGTATTCACCTGATTCATGCCATTCTTGCTTACAAGCAACAATTACTGTAACAGATACTGTATTCAGTAAAAAAAAAAAAAAACCAAAACAGTGACAGGAAGCTCCAGATACTATCAGATAGGAACACACCAGATTTAGGTGTCTCACACAATCTCAGTGAAAATGAAAGAAGCAACCACCTATTTGGTTCTCCAAAGAACTATACAAGGTCTTTTTCTGTTTTTAGCCATTTGGGATCATAGGCTAAAAGGTTGTTTCATTCCTTTCTTTCCCTTTTCAAATAGACAGAAGGTTTAGGATGAGTGATGTCTGAATGGCTCCTTCTAATTCTGTAATTCTGGTGGTTTAATTAGTATAAATCTAAAGAGGCTTTCCTGTGGGTTGTGTAAGATTGGGGCAAGACCCCTCTTAAGCAGAGCAAGCCACTCCAGGCCTTTCTGCAGGTGCCCACCCCCTCCCCACAGTGGGGTCCAGCACAGGTGCCAAACAATGGAAACTTCCCGTTCTGGGTGTTAACTTTAGTTACCACCGCCAGACAATGCTGCCAGTGGTGTGGAAGAAAAAATTGCTGTAGCCAGCTGTGCTGTTCACAGTCGGATGGATTTTGTGTAGCTCCAAATGGTGATGGAGCCAGCAGCCTGTTGTAGCCAAGGACAGAATGATGGATGATCTACATACTGTGTCCAAGTGGAGAGAATGGCAGAAGTTCACTTCAGGGTTGTTAAAATGCTAATCTGGGTACGTTAACAAAAGCTTAACAGAAAAGAAAAGTTTGAGAAGTAAGTACACCTCCTGTAGTATCTATGGACCACCGATTTGATCATCCTTGGTTACATAAATGGTTGTGTTTCAAAGTAAGTACATTTTCAACTTTTCCTGTTGTACAGCCACTGGTTTGATGATGAGCAGCAGAATCACTGATCTGAGGAGGAAAAGTCAGCACGTCGATAGCTACCTCAAAAAATGTTATGATATGCTCAATATAATTACATGACTTTCATTTTCTCCCTGTGGCATAAGAATAAATCAACACACTTTTGTTCCCAACTGGAATTTGGCAGCTGTTCACAAAATAAGGGGCAACATAAGATACTGGCTTTGGAAGATTTTAACACTAAGTTTCCTTTCCCATGAGCTCCAGAAAGTGAGATCTCCTTTTCCAACAACAGTTTCAACACTTGAACTACAATACCATTATGTTGAATTATTACTGTTAAAAGAAGGCCACTACACATATTTGGTGTGCATCATCATTCCTTTATGTTTGTGAGGTAAAATAACATGCTCCCACAAAAGGTGCATATTTACATTTTTGGCGTTTTGGCATTTTTGGCATTGATCATTTTGACATACTCAAAATTTTTTTTTCTTACTTAAGTTCAACATACAAAGATATGTCTGCCTTCCCTGGAGCTGGATCATTGGTTAGCACAGCTTCTTGCAAGTTGACAGCTACTCAATAAATACTGAATGGCTGGCATACCCCAATTCCTCTAGAAATGGGTGTAGAAAGTACAGGTTAAAGTCTATTAAGTGAAATAAAAGGCAACATATTTATACTGCAATATGCTAAGGAAGGAGTTCACCTCCTATGGTTACACCAGTGATGGTTAGGCATTTAGCCAGACTCCCAACTCTGCACAAATGCATCACAAAGGTGAAAAATGACTCTATTTCAGATACATTTTTCACTCTTTGTGTCTTAGGGAAACTCATACACAAGAACAATGACTAAGCTCATTACCAAGGTTCATTATGACTGAGCAGCAAGAAGTGAAGAACTTCTCCAGCTTCAATAAGCTCTTAACAATTAAGGGCATATTTATGATTCAAAGTTCTGATTCCTGCTCCCTTGCCTGTGTGCATTTCAAGCAACAGTAACCACCACACAGGATTCAGAGGACCACTTACCAAGCATAGTCACTGGACAGATCCTTCTTGTGTAGCAAGTGGCCAGTGAGCTGAAGTCCACTGGATTTCTAAGTTGCCATCTAAGGCCTGATAGGTTTGCGTCACAGCTATCTTTGAAATCCATCAAACCAGGGGAGGCATGACCAGATGGTGCTATTAGAGGGCACCAAGGAGAAAAAAAGGAGTGTGGGCATTCTGCCCACAAATCTAAATCAAACTCAACTTAACCAGCTGTTTGGTGATAGGGAAGCTGGAATATTATTTTCAGGGCAGAGTCTCCAGCATCACAAAAATGTTTCTCAAAAAGGTTATTGACGTAGCATTCCCAGAAGAAATAATAGCAGGTAGCAATATTCCGTAGAAGCCAATCAGAAATAGTAGCTGGTTGTTAATCTAACTAAATGTGCAAATGGGAGAAAACGGTCTGCTAAACAACACATTTTGGACACCTGAGGGTTATTTATTTAACTGCCTTTCTTAGAGTACATTCTAGAGACCTAAATCAAAGCATAGACACTAACTATCAAAAACAAAACTCAGCCACGGCTGGGCTAGAGTTTATTTCCCTTATGATGTTTAAATTCACAGTCATAGAGGCCCAAATCTCAGAGCTTATCTGATAATTTCTATTTACGTAAGCCAGGGTAAATGTTTGTATAATGTTTGCTAGCCTGACAGAATATGTTTGTCACTCACTACATTAAACATGACTACACACAACTTCATTTCCCAAGTTAGGTGCCTAAGAAAGTGAGGGAATGTTGTCATCACACGAATAAACCAGAATCAAAGTCTATTGTTTAAATCACCACAAAGATAGCAAAATCCTCACTTTGAGCTGTCTGTGATAAGATTTCTTAATTATGCAAGGAAGAAACCTTGAAAAAATGTCTCCAAACAAGTATTTCTCTTATTCTAAAGGGTAGAGAACAAACCAGTCTAGAAAACTGTTAAGCCTCTGCTAAGACTTGAGCTTTGAAATAAACAAAAGAATTCACTTGATTGCCCCAAATAGCAAAGAGAGAGTCAGTCTTTACAAGGCACCCATACTTTTTACTGCACTTTAAATTCTTCGTAGCCAGAAGTTCTTAGGAGAACTGCCCTAGACATTTATTTTTCCAAGTAAACAGAAACACTACCATTATATTTAAGAGAAAACGGTTGCCCGCAATAGTGGACATACGGTCCAATTATTGTTTACAAAGTCTATATGTCTGTAATAATGATCTACTGTCCCTTCTCTGAGAAAATCACCCAGCTGAGAGCAGCAGGGTTTGGTGTCCTGGAACTTGGGTTACAATGGGTCACCTCAGAACAAACAGAGTACTACCCTGAGTTCCTCTAATGCTGCAATTAACACCACCACTTCAAAGCTTCCCCAGCTCCTGAACAGTTAGCTTTTCACAAGTTCAACATTTCCAAAATCACCTGACAGCTTTGGCCCCAAGAGTCGACTGAGCACAAATCAAACCCAGCTCTCATCCACACCGTCCAGTCCTTCGTGACCCTTTATTTCAATCCAAGAGTTACACACGCAAGAGGAAGATTTAAGCCTTTCTGAATCACCAGGACGGCTGCTGAATCGGTTTCTGCAGACAAGAACAAACCTCATCCTCGCCAAGATGGGAAATAAAAGTTCCCTACCTTCCTCCTCACCATCGCCCCGCCAGTGGCCGCCAAGGCGAGAGGCTGCTCTCAGGGCTGCAGGATGTCTCTCGCCTCCGGAGAAGGGGCTCATGCAAAATTGACTCTTCCTTATTTGTTTCCATACATAATTGATGGGAAGATGAGAACGTAACACATCTCAGCGCTGGGCTCTTGCCGCCTGGCGGAGACCGTGTCCAAGACGCTTCCGTAAATCATTTCCAGCCGGAGAACAAAGCACGGAAAGTTGCGGGGGGACAGTGGCCGGGAGGAGAAACCCGGGCGACTGGTGGGAAGTGGGGGTGGACAGTGGGCAGCTCCCGGCCCCGTAGTCCGCCCGCTGCGCGCTCGGCCAGCAGGGGGAGAGGGAGGGTGGGAAGTGAACGCCCTCAGGGAAGGAGCCGGCACTGGAGCCTGAAGGGGGTGGTAGTCGAGTCCCCCCTGGGCCGCGAGTCCCCGCCCACGCCTTCAGCCACCACCCCTGCGGGGTCCACCCCTGGGGCACACACTCAGGTAGCCCGCGTCCGCGGTGAGCCGCTCAATTCTCGGCGTCTGCGCCCCTTCTGCGCGGGCGAGTGCTCGCCGGTCCGCTCCAGTCTGGGTCCCGCGCAGCCCGAACCCCGCGGTCCAGGGAACTGCTCCCTGGCTGCCGGGGGGAAGGGGGCGATGGTGCGGATAGCCAGCTCCTATGGCCTTAGCTGGGCTCCTACGCTGGCTGGAACCGCCGAGCCCCGCGCGGAAGCGGCCCGGGTTCTTCCAGACAGTGTGAGGGGAGCGCCGGGCTGGCGCTGTCTGGCAAGAAACTTTTGCTTGCACCCTCCTTCGGTTTTTTTTTTTTTTTTCTTTTTTCTTAGGGGGTGGTGGTGCACAGTGGTGGGGGGGAGCTCCAAGTTCTCGTGCCCCTTCCCCCAAGACTCCAGCTTGCCCCGTTTTGACCGGTCTTTGCCAAGTCTCCCCTGCTCTCTGCGCGTCCCTCGCACCGCAGGCAGAGCTGCTAGGGAAAGAAATCAACTCTCCAGTGACACCACACGCCACAACGCACACACAAACACACACACACGCTGCGAAGAAGCCGCGGGTCTGGGTCCGATCGCCACCAGGCGCCTAAAGCTTTTGACAAATTTTTACAGACGGTCTTACCTCATGGGGGGAGGCTGGTGCGACGCTTGTCACGCACACGGAAAAGAGAAAATAAAGAACAAATTAAAATACATTGATCCCTCTGTCTCTCTAGGTCTGGGTTTCCTGGATATAATCCTGAAACTCGCCACCATCAGATCTTGCAGCAGTGGTAGCGGCGGCAGCAGCGGGACCGAGCGGGAGCAAAACAAATCGAGGCACGGCAAATGGTGTAATACGATCCATCTCCAAGTCAATCCATCAGGCGAGCTGGAGCCGGGGTTCCTACCCTCACTCCGCGGCTCAGTCCCACCCCCGAGAGCAGTCGTCTGAGGCGCGGGCGCGTTTACCCTTGCTGGAGCGCTCCGGCCAGCGCCGCCTGGAGGCCCCCACGTCGGCGCCGCGGCCCGGCTGACCCCTCGGTGGCCTCCGCGTCCCTCCTCCCGGCGCTCTGCTGCACACCCTCCCTCTCCCCACCTCTGAAGAGCTGCTCCTTCCAGCAACTCCCAGCGCCTCAGTGAACCAGCTCACGTTGGCTGCTGCAGCCTGTGAAGCCTTCCTTTTCGCTTTCCTCCCTCCCTTTCCCTCTTTTTCTTGCTCCCTCACTTTTTTCCAGCGCTTTCCTCCCGACTTGCAGAGGACAAATCATTGCAGCCCGGAGAAGCTGAAGGCGCAGTTGCTAGGAAAGTTCGGCCTTAGTTTTCTAGTCTTAAGATTTATTTATATTTTTGTAAGAACATCCTTATAAACCCATCTCCTTCTTACCTTTCTGCTCCCCTCCCCCCATTTCTTTTTATAATCACTAAGCAAAACATCTGGGAAGAAGCAATCAAACATTGCTTTATCTTTATAAAATACAGAAATTGCCTACTAAAAATCCCATTTCTAGTTTGAATGAAAGCCATTCAGTACAGTATAATTTTGCAGGCTAATGAGCCGGTTTTACAGGCAAGTGTTTCATGTAATATGTCGTGGGGGAAGTGAAAATGTCCTTGAAGTGACATCATTTAAAACTGTCACAAGTGAAAGGGGAAAAAAATACCATATTCCAAAACAAGAGGATTTTCATCTAGACTTCATTCCCAAGAACGGGTTGTGTTTTATAAATTTCCAGTTGAACGATGAATCACTGGGGGCCTCAATGGTTGGAATAAACCATGATGCTCTTATTTAAAGAAATAGAAGAGAGCTTCATGGCCAAACTTTTAGTTTTCATTTGAGTATAGTTAATTACCATGAAAGAGAGAAGAAGAGACACGGGATGGATTTTCCCTTCCTCAAAGGTTCCTGCTTTCTTCCTAACACTAAGTTACATGTTTACGTTTAGGAAAAATACCCTGCTCTGAGTTGTTTCTGAAGCTTCCACTGAGGGCCTTGAAGAGGAACTCAGAAAAGACACCCAGGAGGAACTGCACTCTGGATTCATCCCCAGAACCAACATTTATTTCCTCACTAGTTAACACTTTGTTAGCAAGAGGAAGGAGGAGGGAGGAAGAGGGTCTTTTAAAATATAAACTCTCTCCCTGCTGTTCTTCCTATTGGAAAGAAGGGGTAGGGGGCAGAAGGACAACTTTGGCAACACTATTCTGTGATTTTTCTGTTGTTGCAGAAGGCTTTTGTTGGCTGGCTGGCTGGCTGGTGTTTTCTGGTTGTGCTGGGCTCTGACATCATTGCGAGTTACTTGGCAGTCAGAGCCCTTCTCCAGCCAACTTCTGACCCAGAAAGCTGTGCCTGCTTCACTGGCATCCAGTCATTCCGTATTTTCTCCATCCAGGGTGCTGCAGGCAGAGTGTCTGTGAATTGAATGAAGATGCAAGGGGGGTGGGCCACTGGCTTGGTGAAGAATCAAATTGCCACCCACTTGGAGCAAAAGCTTATGAGTTATCCTGTATCTGCAGTAGTGGGGGGGGGGGGAAAAGAAACTCCCTAGATTCCTCAATTTTTTGCTGAGTTTCCACTATAGCCAACTTAACAGAGCACCATCTCTAGAGAATGCAGTTGATCCTGAACTGAGTATATAATACTAATGAAAACCTTTTAGGTTGTAGAACAATATGCTGGTAGGTCATTTCAAATCAAGGAACAGACATGTTTTCAATCCAGGAACAGTCTAGATCTCAAAGCCAGTCCCTATGTTTGGCTTGCTGTAGGAAGACAGGCCAGGAAACAGGTAATCCACTGAAATCAGAAGGAGGGTACTCCACTTTCAGTCATCAAAATATTACTGGTAAGGATTCCCTGGGTTCCAGAAGATGGAGAGTTAGGAAAACGGCACTTTTAATTAGTGTTTTAGTGGAAAGAAGTCGAAGGGGACTGTTTACTCTTTATGCAATGCAGTAACATTTGGTCCTTTCAGTTGCTCTTACATACTTAGATGCTTTTAGCCCTGTTTACTTTTTGGGTCCAACTCTCCCGCCCTACCTCTTCTATTGCCAGGACACTTGCAGTCCTCCAACATGCCACAGTGCTTCCTGTCTCCATGGCTTCCCTGGCAGTGTCTCTGCTTTCTGGGACACTCTGTCTCCATATTTTCAACTCTAATTTCTGCTCTTTTTGACTTTTGACATAAATTATGTTTAGGTGTCAAAATTTCCCTCATCTCACTAGACCTCATGGAAAGGTTTTAAAGCACCTTCTATTGTATTCTAACAAGTTCACTCATGGAGCTTGCTGAATTGAAGTGAGAATAACTATTTAGGATGTCTTCTTTATTGACAGGGACCTTTCCTTATTTACCTGAACAGCTCCAATGCCTAACCCCATACTGGGTACTTAGTGGACTCTCATAAATGCTTGTGAAAGATCTGATAATAAACCCAAACTTTCCTTTCCATGCTTTCCTAAACTAGTCTTCTCTAGATTATGTTTCTCCAGAGTAGAGACTTATTTGGGTCTCAAAGTTTGCATAGGGCTGTGCAAGGCTTGTTGAATGAAGAAGGAAGGGAGGAAGAATGTGTGAGGATAAAGGAAAGAAAATATTTCTTTCCTCTGATACCCACAAGCATTTCTTAAAGGACTTAATGACTATACTTTAGTATTATCTATGCATATCTTCCATTGATGATGAATAGTAACTTTATTTACAATCTAGGTGTTTTATTTGTTTGCTATAGGAGTAAGGCTCAGAATTTTATTTCATTTCTAATCAAATGTTTAGAATATAAACTATCTGATAATTATAGAAAATCTGTATGTGATGGTCAATAAAGGTTTATGATCAGATAGTACTCCTTATCTATTCGTTATTAAAGAAAGCATTAGTGCTGAATCTGTGCCAAACTCTTTTCTAAGCATTTTGCATATTAATTGATAACTTTTTTAGGAAATATTTGTGTCTTTATTTTTCAGGAGAGAAAACTTGGGCTCAGAAAGTATAATTGACTTGTCACACAGGTAGTAACAAAGTAGAATCTGAACCTTACCTATCCCTTAGTGGGTATACTGGTTAAGAGTGAAGTCATTATTAGCAGTAGTTAACAGAGAAGACCTAGAGACACAGACAACTTGGATTCAAATCCAACATCTCTTGGCATGATTATTTAACTCTACTGTGCTTCAGTCTTCTCATCTGTGAGACATGGGTGATAACAATACTTCAAATGGATTTTATGAAGAAAGAAGGTGAAAAATACATGTAGTGTTTGGCATCTTATATGGAGCCCAGCGAACACTGGGTAAATATTAGCTGTGTTATTATATATGCCCTGGAGGAGTGCAACCTTGGAACACTGCAGCTTTGGATTAGAAATTTAATCCAACCTCACATTAAAAGTGAGGCTTAGGGCAAAAGAACATGGTACACAATAGGTTTGCAATGCATTTTGTTCCATTCCATTTCCTCCTTCCCTTGTGTATGTGTGTGTATCTATTTATTCAGCTACACACACTACTCACTATCCGATTGCTATGAAATAACATTTTGTATGAATTTTAATGAATAATACAGTTTAGGATGTAGATTTCAGTTTTCAAAAAAAAAGATAGAGATATTGAAATTTCAAAGGTAGCTATAGCTTCTGTGATTAACTTGGAATGCACATACAGTATTCCTTGCGCTCACATATTATAGAAAGTGCCTTTGTGACAAGGGATTGATTTCAGAACTAATCTGAGCTCTCCATGACATGATAAATCATTAATAATATAGCCCCAAATCTCAGCATCTGCATAGGCACAGCTGGCCTCCTTGTGTCAACACTCTGCATATAAAAGGACTCTGCCAAGAGACTTCACTTTAATGAAAAATATTTATCATAGTAAATC